CCCCTTCTCACAGTTACCGTATGAAAACAACCTATGGCTTGTTGTATCCAAGACCACTATCAAGGAAACTCCTGCCCTAAAACGTGTTCTGAAGTCCAATCCATGGCTCTATACGTTGAAGATTGCGTTTAGAGCGTAAATTTAAGTCAAAATCAACAAAAAGTGACCATCCTGACTTTGTTAGTCAACTGATGTTCGCAATGCGACCATCTGCAAGGGTTTTATCTCCGGACCTCAGTGGAACCCAATTCACCCATATCTTGTTCTATAATCAAGCCAGATCTAAGGGCGCTCTTCCGGTTACGACGCGTTGGTCATTTTATCTTCAGAGGTTATGCTTAGGCTTTTTTTTGCTGATGACTAAATTCTTAGTTAGAGTGCGGGCGATGAAAGTAGAACCAAGTTTAATCTATACCACTGGCGGAATCTTGTCTGTGCTGCCGTGTTCGTAATATAATTCACCAGTCGCCTTACTGCCCTCAGCGTGCTTTGGTCACCCTTCAGTTAAAATTACAAAATATTTTAAAGGCCATTACGTTAGCTTTTACAGTTGGGGATTCGCTGGTTGCAATGCGTCCTATTATATATTTCATCAGCTTGCAAGGAAAATGTCTTAACCAGTTCCCTTACATTTGCATCTTTTATAGATCTTAAAGAATTTTTCGCTGACTGTACCGGCTGGCAAGACTGTAGCTATCGTTGGCCCCAGTGGCTCCGGAAAGAGTACAACGGTGCAGTTGATACAGCGACTTTACGATCCTCTAGAGGGACGCGTAAGTTGAGACAACTGATTGAATGCTGTCGCCATGATTCTCCCATAAACCTTCCTCTTACTGTATTCTCCCTCCCCATCCCAGGTTACGCTTGATGGTGTCGATGTCCGTCAACTGGATGTAAATTGGCTTCGACAGCAGATCGGTGTGGTGTCCCAGGAGCCCGTTCTCTTTGCTGGCACAGTCGAGGAAAACATACGACTAGGAGATCCGGAGGCTACAGATAGCGAAGTCGAGGATGCAGCTCGCATGGCTGATGCACATGGCTTTATCATCAAACTACCTGAGGTCCTCTTTATTTGTCCTTTTTTTCGAATGACTTACATGAATTGACATTACTTGCATTTCAGAAGAAGAAGAAGAAGAAACGACCACTGGAACAAGACTTTTATTGCCCTGACTTTTCGCATTCCGTCGGGAATGCTTAATCATAGGTAATCGTAGAAAAGTCTGAGACATGCGCAGATAAGGGTGCTACACGCACAATTTGCATGGTAGACATAGTTCGCAGCGGTCATCCGCATGCGTACTATAGTTATCAGTTCCTGTAGCCACCGCTTGAGGTGCGGATCTGGTGCAGTTGTGGGCAGAGCAGCTTCGTCGCAGAAACCGGGACATTACTCCGGACGCGACTAGCCGAGCATGCAGTGGCGATAGGGAAGAAAGACGCCAACT